CTAAAATTATGGACAAAACACAAAGACCCAAAATTTTTTGGAGGTAGATGAAACAAAGGAGTGTCAGGATACAGCAGAGTGTATGGAATTTTATTTTGAAGGACAGAAGACGACATTCGGTTAATTAAGTAACAAGCAGTAAGGATAGCATCACCCCAAAATTCTTTAGGTACATGTCTGTGAAATAATAAGGTCCGAGCAATGTCTAGGAGATGTCGATTCTTTCTTTCAGCTACTCCATTTTGTTGAGGAGTGTAAACACAGGAGGACTGATGCAAAATACCAGATTGAGCAAGGAAGTTGGCAAAATTTGTTTCTAAGTACTCCTTAGCATTATCAGATCGTAAGACTTTTATTGTGGATTTGAACTGATTTTGTATTTCTGAGAAAAATATTTTAAAGGTTGAGAACACATCAGAACGAGATTTCAACAAATATATCCAAGTAACACGCGAATAATCATCCACAAAACTAACAAAATATTTGAATCCCAATTTTGAAATGACGGGACAAGGACCCCATACATCTGAATGAACTAAATCAAAAGGGTGAAGAGCTCTGTTATTGGCCCGACTAGGATAAGACACGCGATGGTGCTTTCCTAACTGACATGACTCACAATCGAAGGAGGAAAGAGAACCTAAAGAGGGAACACGAAGTTTTAGTACGGGTAGAGAAGGGTGACCTAGCCGACAGTGGTACTCAAAAGCTGAAATAGTACTGATGCAGGCCACGTGCTCGGATGCCAACTCTAGCTCATACAGGCCATTGCGTTCACGTCCTGTACCAATCGTCTTCCTCGTCACCAGATCTTGAAATACGCAATATGAAGGAAAGAATGTTACTGTACAATTGAGAAGCTTAGTAATCTTACTGACAGATAAAAGATTATATGGAAAATCAGGTAGATAAAAGACAGAGGATAGGGGAAGGGAAGGAGTGGTGAGCGCGTTGCCAGTACCCCGAATAGGTTTCCGAGACCCATCAGCTAGGACAACAGAGTTAGAAATAGGTGAAAAAGAAGACAGAATACCTCGGTTCCCAGTCATATGATCAGTAGCTCCGGAATCTATAATCCAGGTTGGAGTGGAAGACGAAGTAAGAAAAGCTGTAGGAGTACCTGCTTGGGCAAGAGTAGCAGTGGAAGAAGATGGCACGGCCTGTGTATGCTGATACTGCTGGAAAAGCTGGAACTGTTCAAACTGACGACGCAACTGCTCATCCGGAAATGGAGACGACAGCTGAGAATGGCTATCCTGAGAAACGTTGTGAGAGGCCAGAAATGCCTCCTTCCCCTTCTTCTTTGGACAGTTAAACTTCATGTGACCTGGCTCATGACAATAGTGACAGTGGATAACTGATTCATCACCAGGGCTAACCCGAGATGGACCACCACGACCACCTCTGTGTCCACCACGACTAGAAGAATGACCTCCATGAAACCCACCACGACCATCAGAACCACTACGACCACGGCCACGTCCACCAGAGTAGCCTCCCCGGT